ATGTTGGAGGATTTTCCTGAAGGAATTACAAGCTGCACAGAATTATTATGGTTTCTACATAGAATAGCACCTGCCTGTGCAGGATTCACCAGCAAGGTCATCAGGCTGTGTAGGATTTGACAGTTTCCTGCATAGAACAGCAGGCAAAAAAAAACAGCAGAAGGGAAAAGGAGGCAGAAATTGAGCTATCATTTTTGCAGGAAGTCAGGAAATCTTGCAGGTCTTCTTAGGAAGTCTCAGCATGATGAGACTCAGAAAATCAACAAGATACAAAACTATTCTGAGTACTTGTCACTCCCTACTTCCCACCATCTTACATCAAGTGATATGAAAGCCATAAATACATAAATCCAAGAGAAGTGCAGGGTGCTACAAACTACAATGCAAAGCAATGATAAAAGCAGTGAAACAAGCTACTTCTATTGTTGTCACATAACTTTGGGAATATCTGAGAACACAGAACACCTTCTGTCTCAGGAATGCCACTAGGGATGAACCTTTTCATGTTTATATAAAAGGGGGGGGGGACAAAAACAAAAACAAAAGCTCTTTATTCATGTTTGTGTTCTTTCATTGATTCCCAAGACAGAGCCTCTAAAATACAAATGACTGCATGAAAAAAGGGAGGTGTACACAAACTTTTCACATTCTTTCATGTTTTCCTGTTTTGTTTAAACTTCCTTTCACCTTTGTCGGTCAAACCTTTCTTTTACCCTTTGCATGGTGAATCACATGATAATTTTTTCACCCAACGGCATCACTAGAGCTACTGCAAAGACCCGGTGTTGTGATCAACAAAGCCTGCCCACAGCCAATCAGAATATACTGTATGCAGAGAAGTGGGGATATTAAATTTGCAGAAGACCTTGGAAACCAGTAGGGATTTAGTTTTTGTTGTTGTTGTTGTCTGTTTCTCTTTATGTGGTTTTGCTTCACTTGTTTGTTGTACGCAGGATTATTGTTTACTGAGCTCCTGCAGCCCCCCACATCTTGTTTTACATCTTGCTTGTGCCTGTGCCTTGGGTCTTGGATCCTTTCTTCGTTTGCTTTTTTCCTTGATTTTTTACAGGGGATTTTCCCTGTTTCCTTTTTCTTTGAATTATTTTTGCTGCTACCAGGCAGCTTGCCTGTGTCAGCATTCCTCCTTGGGATTCTTTTTTTTAATTTATTTATTCCTTCTCCCCACCCAAAATTTCTTTGGAGGATATTGTGCCATTCTTTTATTTTCTTTTATATATTAAAAAAAGCAGTCCCCCCTCAAAAAACCGATGTTCTGTTTTAGTGAGAAAATCCAGACGTCTTTCTCCTGCTATAATCCATTGAAGGTAATACTTCCCTCTGAACTGCAGCAATATAGGAAATGTAAATACAAACATTGAAAAGGAAATCTGATCAGAACAAAATGAAGAGATTTGCCCATCACTACCCTGACTGATCACAAAATAAAAGATACCTATTGCTATTCTGCAATCCCAAAACAGATATCTACAGTGGTGCCTCGCTAGACAGTTACCCCGCATGACAGTTTTTTCGCTAGACATTGACTTTTTGTGATCGCTATAGCAATTCGCAAAACAGTGATTCCTATGGGGGAATTTCGCTGGACAATGTTTGGTCCCTGCTTCGCAAACCAATTTTCGCTAGACAACGATTTTGACAGCTCCCTCCGCACTCGCAAACAGGTATTTTTGGGACCTAAGCTTCGCAGGACAGCTATTTAAACAGCTGATCGGCGGTTCACAAAGCAGGTTTCCTATGGCCAATCTTCGCTAGACAATGACAATTCTTCCCCATTGGAATGCATTAAACAGGTTTCAATGCATTCCAATGGGGAAATGCTTTTCGCTAGACAATGATTTCGCTAAACAGCAATTTTAGTGGAACGGATTATCATCGTTTAGCGAGGCACCACTGTATATGTTTTTTATTTGTTTCTAACAGTCTCAGCAACCCTTTCACAGGAGGAGAAGCCAGCATTTATAGAATTTTTCAGATGTGATATCAGGTAAGGTATTTATGAGAGATGGGATATTTGTATTCATAAGTGAGTCTCCCATGATGCCCAGCCGCTGCTTCTCCACCTTCCTGCTCTTCTGGCCACTCCTGCCAGGGGGTGGGATGACAAGTCTCCCCGCTTAGCTGCTGAGTGGCCAGAAGAACAGGAAGGCAGAGAAGTGGCAGCTGGGCTTCTTCAGAAATTGATCCAATGAGCAGTACACTGGCCACACGCACTGTGTGACGATCCATAAGTGGACCAGGTCGGTTCAGGGAGGAGGGACTGGTGATCCCAGCCACCTGGACCCAGGATATTCATATTCATTTACAGATATGAATATCCCATCTCTAGTGTTTATACTGAAGCCAATGAAACATCAAGCAGTATGTCCCATTTCTATACAAGAGATAATAAGTGTAGCAATACCCTCATATGGTTTTCTCTTGCTTTTAGAGATCTGCACTGTAGCCTACATATTTGTTATTTTTATTATCTGTGAAAACTTTTACATTGTAACATGTTCTAAATTACTACGTTAGGATATTTTAGATTTTATTATTAGTTTTTCTTTTTAAGTGAGCAAAAAATGTTCAGTGGATTTACAGGATTTGCAGGAAGTAAATAAATATTAACCTGGCCAGCTGTGTTGGGAGGTAGGGAAGGGTTGGCCAGGCTCCTTCCAAGATTCGTGCGATGACAATGACAGAGTCAAGAGCTGCACAGAGCCCGGTAAGTGACCCTGCCAGGTTTTTTGGGGGTAGTATTAGGCAGGATTGGGCCACCATAGCATATTCTGTGCCACAGTTCATATTCATTTTTACAGAGAAATGAATACAAAGTGCCCACGCCTCATATAAACCAAAGATTTTGGGTCAATGTTGCAGATGTATGTGAGATGCGACTGTTTACAGGCAGTTCTTCATCCTTGAAGAACTGCCTGTAAACCGTGCACAGAATGCACTTAATCCATCCATCAAAATGAATGCTGGGTGGGAGATTTTGCAAGGTGTAATCCAAAACAAGAACATTTCCAGATTCTGGTGTTGTATGTCTTATTGCATTTCCTGTTTTTGACTCAGTGGCTCTTCGGGTCCTTTGTAGCTCTGTAATTCTATGAATCTCTGAGTCTTTGATTTCCCAGAAAGATCACATTCCACGGGTTTCTGCTGTTTTGCTGGGATCTTGGCTAGATGCTGCCCTGAAGAAAGCAAAATTAGCTTCAAGTTCCCCAGAGCAGTTCACTCCATTTTCTCATCAACTGGCACTTACAGTCTTAATAACTTACTCTGGGACATTTGTAAGAAGAAAGAATAAAAAGTTTCATTTCCTTACAGTGAACAAGAACAAGCAACAGACCTCAACAGACTCACCTCCCACCCAGACCTAATAAGACAGCATGTGAGGTTGCAAAGACATCAACATGCTACTTCTCAGTAAATCTGCACATGGAATCAATGTTATCTATAGTTACTGGAAAGCAGAGACTGGTAACGTTACTTTCTGGGACTAACTCCCAGCATCAACTCCAAAAATGGTCCTTGAACATTCTGGCTGAGGGATTCTGGATGTTGTAGCTCCCAAAGACTGCTACGAGTATCATCCCTTGCTATAATGCAGCCCATAATAGTGAAACAAAACAGCAGTGAATGGTAGGGGTGTTGAGAAGAGGGTTCCACACTGGTCTGATACTTGCTTTTATATATCAAGGTGCATGTAAACAAAAATTTAAATAAAAAGTTAAATCTGTATCTCTAAAGGAAATCATGCCTTGTTTTTCTTTTGATTTCTGCAGTTTGCACTTACTTCCCCCTGCATTTATTCAGAACATATCAGACAGTACGTCACCTGTAAGAGATTTCTATGATGTTCTCATGGATCTGTGGGGGCGAGATTGCTACCAATAAAAATTAATGGGAGAAACAAAGAATTAATTAATTACAATTTAAATATTATAAGTACGCCCTGTGAATCTAACAGGGTTATACTGCCTAATATTGATGATAGTAATCAAAGGATAAATTATAATTAATTAATTAATTAATTAATTAATTAATTAATTAATTAATTAATTAATTAATTAATTAATTAATTAATTAATAGTAACTGGTGAACTGGCACTATTTCTTGGTTTAAGTGCACCACTGATATATATGGCTGTTCTACATGCTTTCCTTTCTCTCCATTATTCCAGCCATATAATCCTGTAAATTAGTTTCTGCTGAGAAGTACTTAGCAGTGCAAAGATACCCAGTTTTGTGACTAAACAGGGATTTGAACTTGGGTCTTGCTGTTCCACAGCCAGCACTGTAACAATTATACTATATTAGCTCTCTCAGATCAGTAGCTAGGTTTACAATATAAATGATACCTAAGACTGAAAACTGTGTACACAGAGTGGTCTAGTGGATAAAGTAATGGACTAGGGCTCAGGAGACCTGGGTTCAGTTCCAGAGCTTTGCCATGGAAATGCACAGAGATGTGTGGAGACTTGGTAGAACCATATTTCCCTTACCTTGAAACCCCTATTGGGGTCACTGTGAGTCAGTTCTGACTTGACAGCACATAACAACGAGACCAAAACATACCAGAAGAAAAAACAATGCTACAGGTAATGTGCTTAATGATAGGCAAATTAATTTGCCTAATGGGCAAATTTACACACTGTGCAAAGAAGATTGTCTAATTTGCATAATATGTTAATATGGCTCCTCACATTTGAAGAATTAGAACACAGCAACACTGAGCTGAGCCATTATACTGTAATTGATAAATATCTAAGAAGCTGATGTGGTCCCATTCTGAGAGAGACATATGCTGCTTCACAGAATTTTTGAAACAAGAGAGAACATTCTGTTTTGGGGCTTAGTTTGAGCACATTGCATATGTTCTTCTTCCAGTTTCTTTCAGAAAAACAAACAGACCTCTCCAGGAATCCACTACTGTCACCAAGAGCACCCTGAAAATGTACTTCATATACAAGAATGCCAATAAAGATCGACGTTACCATGAAACCAAGGTGCCACAATGTCCAAGTTCCTTTCAAACCCTGCACGACGTGGAAGCTGTTCTTCTTTGAACCACTGAATGATGACTTCTCTGGAGAAAGGTCTCGGAGGCCGTTCCCAAGCTTTGCTGGATAAAATTTAAAAGAAAATGAGATGAGAGCCATGCAGAGAGTGCTGCACAAAAAAGAAAGTTTGCCACAGTGAAAAAA